AAATTTTAAAATTTCTCTTAAATAAAATCAATTTCTATTAAATTAACAAATAAAATAAAATTTAATATTTAAATTAAAGAATAATTTTCCGAATAACTTTCATAAAATTAAATTAGAAAACGGAAAAATTAACGGAAAAAAAATAATTTTTCAAATGAAATGAAAAAATGGATGAATGATCTTTTTAAATTCTATTAGTATTATTTGTAAAATTTGATAAACGAGGAAATTTTTGAAAATTTTCAACACAAACGAAAATGAGATAAACATTTATTTACTGACATTTTATGATGAATAGATTAGTTGTTGAAAACTAATGAAATAATAAAAATAACAATAGAGAAATTCTGACTAAACGAATAGAATAAAACTCGAATTCCGAATTTATCACAATAAAAGAGGAATTTATCGAATGAATGAATGAATGAATGAATGAATGAACTAAGGATAAATAAAACAACTATTGGAGAGAGAGGAGGAGGAGGAGGAGGAAATTCATCGTCTCAACGACTTGGATTATCCTTTGTGTCGAAGAGAAATTTCCCTGGCAAAGCGGTAAATTCGTTAAGCTGGCTTAGCAATGATCAATAATTAAAAGAGAAGGAAGCGATGTGCAGCCACAATGAATTCTCAAAATATATTCTCAAAATTTATGCGCAAATTTCTTCACAGATTTTATTTTCAACTATTACTTACTTTCACATTTACACGCATTCATCTATAATGAAACTTTGAATGGAAAAATTTCTCAAAGCACTTTTTTTTTTTTTAATGAGCCTTCTGAGAAAATAATTCTATGAACTTCTAAATGCAATGAAAAGCGTTGAAATTAAAGAGAGGGGACAAAAGACTGACGGTGATTCACCAGGATTATTAGCCTGGTTCCACTCTTAGTGATAGTTTTTCTCCTATCAGTGCGTCCTGAAATTAAAGCCATATTGCATCGCTAAATAATTAGAATAAAGCGATTCAGCGGCAAACATTATCCAACAGGCTATCCTCGTCAATTTTCCCTTAAACAATGTAAAAAATATATAAAATATAAAGATTTTCTAAATCGAAATTTGACCATTGATCCACAAAATATTACCACTTTCTGGATTAGTAAACCTATAATAGCGATAATGAACTTCAAATTTTTCATAATATCTCGAATATCATCAAGCAATTTGCATGATTTTCGGAAATTGCCTGAATTAGCATTAAGCAAAATAAGATGATTGATCATGTTAACACATTCGACAAAAATCGAGCTTCGTGAAAGTGAGTGACGTACAATTTGGATATAAGTAAAATATATTAAATTCAAATACGGACGATATATTAAATGCGCAGATGGATTTATGGATTTCTTTGGCTAAAGCAATTGAAAAAGACAAATTGGCCATCTTTGCTGGTCTCAAATTGATGGCTTAAATTTTTTTCAAAAATTCTGCCATACAAATTTTCATTCAATAAAACTATTCACTTTTTAGGAATTATCAGTGGAATTTATTATTATTATTTTTTTGCATTAATTCATCATTTTGACATTTTCCAAGTAGAATTTTCGATTTCGTGATTTAATACTTAACTTTTTGATATTTAATATTTTTAAGATTTTAAAATTCGTCTCTTTTAAAACTAAGAATAAAAATTTCTTTCTTGATTTTCTATTGAAAGCATTCTAATAAATCTCTTCAGAGTTGCTGGATTAAAGTCTCTTTTAAATTGGCTGCAATATGATTGAACTGCATAGCCGAGAACTACTTGATAAATAATGGATTAAAGGATTCTTGAAGGCATTTCTAATTGTTTGAGAAAAAAAGAAACGAAAAGGCGATCATTCATAATAATTAATATTAACATACGCAAAAATTTATACGATCGTCAAGGGTGGCATAAAACATGAATAAGGAGGTTGCTTTCTGTATTAAGGTATTACGTTTAATACAGTGGCCGTTTTCAAGGTAAAGGCTAAGACGAAATGGGTCAACTTCATCAAGGTCATAACAGTTTCAACGAACGGTAAAAATGTTAAATAAATGACGACCAGTTCAGTCGTATCAAGCGTTTGATCAGTACGCTTTTTACACTGAGATTTTATTTTTGATAACGTTAGCCATAAATTTCCTAATTTTCAATGAAATTCGAACTTTAAAAATGTTTTGTGCTTATTGTCTGATTTGTTGATTTTGCATTTTTTGCTTCATTTTTGGTTTTGAGATATATCCATTTTTTTCATTTTGAAATACAATCTTGCTCTGCTAGCACTTTTCTCCTGGTTTCGCATCTTTATTAGAATGAGCTCGTTTTGCCAATGTTGCATAGGAAAACAAGTCTCTATTATCATTTGGATTTCATTTTTCATGAAAGCTTGACTCTTAACAAGTGAGGACTTACAATAGAACTTATTATGCTTGGTCACAGTGAAACTAAATCACCGCTTATCGGTTTTGATAAACTATGGCTATCTAAAATTGGTACCATCGAGAAGTTTATATACCTGGCAATTTCGATTATTAACAACGTCTTTATGATTCTAATAATTTTATTGAAGTTAAAACAGCTTAAATATGCAGATTCAGCGTTATGAATTTAAATTAATTTTTTATCACCTGTCGCTGTGGTTTTTTCCATAAAACTTTTCTATCAACAATCGTCGAAGTCGTTTCACTTCAATTTTTATAACCATATATCCATTAATATGACAATGATAACGATAGTGATTTAATCAAAATATCAAAGAAATGGTGGAGATTTCCTGGAAATATAAATACAAAAGGTTTAGCAACTTCTTACAAATTTTTTTCGCAATCCAAAATCTCAAGCAATGGCGAAATTCATTGAATTTATCAAAATGTGATGGCAAATCTGTCAACGATAACCACTTTTTAAAATTTTCGATGTTTTTGATTGTTTTGGTTAGAGGAAGCTCATATTAAAAATTGAACTATTTTATGATCATAGCGAAAAATTTGTAACTTCGTTTGTAATTTGTAATTTTTAAAATTGGGGCAGAAAGGGCCGACTTGCTTCGATTAAAGTCAAACATCAGACCGCAATCTTGTTCCTTGAGAGGAGTAAATTTGTTTTGTTAATAAAAATACAGTTTGGGTGCTCCTATCTCTGGTAAAGTTTCCATTTGGCTATCAGCAGCGCCAACTTATCAGAAGATGTGAGCGTTGTAGAAAAATTTTTTTTATTTCAATTACAAAAAAAATTTCAGTTAGCATGATTAATTTATCATATTTCCATCATACTATGTTATCTTTTTTGTTTAAAAACTTCATAAAATAAAAAAATTAAGAAAAAATTAAAAACATTGCAAAAAATTAAGTTTTCAGTTTTTAAAGCAATTTTGCATATTCTGCATATTGCCAAGTTCTTTATCAGTTGCTTAGACTAAGATGGGTTCTCGGTTATCATAACCAATCATAAAAGGCTATTATTTAGTTAGAATTTTAATAAAAAGAGATTTCCTCTTAAAATTTGCATTAGAAATTTTAAATGAATATTTCCAGTAAAAGGCAAAAATTTGCAAGAAGCATCATAAATTAACATAAAAATTCGTATGATAGGTTGAAGATTTCGAAATGCATGATAGCTTTTGTAGGCTTATAATTTCCAAATTACAGTTTTTCTAAGAGAACTCTCTAGGTTTCCAATTCCATTTTATTTAGCAGGTTGGCTGGTTTTTTGTACTTCACGCTTTTTAGACTTTTTTCAATGATTATTTTAACAAAATAAATCGGAAACTCATAAAATTTATACGAAACGCTTATTTCAAATTGAAGCGCTTTTTTTTTCTGGAAGATCGTATTCGCAAATAAATATTTTGCTGAAAATTTTTAGAAAATTTCAGAAAATTTCTATGGCACTTTCAAGTTTCTCAGTAAAATTAAAAATTTTAAAAGAATTTTAGCAAATTATGAGTGATCGAAAGAAACGATCCCGGCGTAGAACATTTTGTATATTGGCATGAATTATGAAAAAATATTAATTACAATCAACGAAAGACTAATTCTTTTTTTTAAAGAACTTTTAAAGTATTTCGGTCAAATATTTCTTTTAAGCAACCAAATTTTATTTTTGTTTACCAATCAGTCATTTGAAATTAGGTTAAATTGTAATGCTAGAAAAATAAAAAAATAAAATTGATAAAATTTTCTGAAAATTTTAGAAATTTCTTAGAATTTTGGCAATTGAAATCTCACTCCTCTAATTTTTGTCGCAATTTTTTGAACCAAACAAATTTTGCTAAGGAGAGTCACTTGGTGATAGAAGTGCAGACGGATCTCCAGCATCAGTTGGATTTTCGAAAGACAGGCTCGCTTCTGCTAGGAGTGGAATCATAGCTTCCATAGCACAGGAGCTCATATTCCACTAGAGCGACGGCCAGACTCGAATCCTGGCCATTCTATGCTCGATTTTCGGTGACAATCACCTTACTACTAAGCCAGAGAATACTTAAAATATATATTCGAAATACAAATAGTTCTGGAAAATTTTTAAATTTTTTTTTACAAAATAGGTATTGTCATGGAAATGATTAATCAAATAGAAATTAGCGAACAATTCTTGTTTGGCTAGCTTTAATGATCCTTAAGCTGATTCACTATCACCTGAGGGTTATTTGGCGATAAAAATAGACATGTGGATCTCCAGTACCAGTACTCGGATTTTATTTTCAGTGATCAATATCAAGCGATTCAGATCTACCTTTGAATATACCTTTTTCTTCGTTGAACAAACGATTATTATCATGCAATAAGCAATAACATACAGTATAGCAATCTCAACAATCGGCATGAAAATTTTCAAAAGGGAAAGGTCGATTAAATCTTAGATAAAAATGATTTCTCATAATGTGATCGTGTTCTTCTTCCCCAATAAATTTCTTGCGAACATTGGCTTTTTTATTTAAAATACAAATTATTATTAAAAAATGAAATTTTATGCAGCGATCGCGGAAAAAATTCTACGAAAATAGCTAAAAATTATTGTTTTTTCAGCTAAACATGAGAGAGGAGCATATTTTTATTTTTTCGACTTTATTTCTCCTTGTTTCTTCTTCGATAATTCATAAAGCTCATTATGAAAATGGTACCAAAGGTAATTTTAATTTTTAAATGATCGTAATTTTTAAATTTCAGACTTTCCTGCCCGAAATTTTTTTAATTTATTATGAGATTTATCAAAAATAACGAGTTGAACTCAAATAATTCACTTTAGCTTGTTAAAAGGAAAAGTAAGTAAGTAAATAAATAGTGAATAGTCAGCGCTCGCCATTTCTGGTTAGGCTAAATCCGCTCATTGTTAGTGTGATAAGAAATTTTTGCTAGGAGGTCCACTTGATGATAGAATTACGAAAGGGTCGCAAGAGTCGGATTTTTTAATTTATTCTTGTTGGTAATATTGACTTTCAATACTTTTGATAATCGTAGCCAATATCCGTTCTATTCTTTTTTTCAGTTTTCTGGAATTTTTCTTTCTGATATATTTTTTATTTCACTTCAAATATTACGGAAACGATAAAATTTTCTTTTTTTTTCGCGTAAAATCTAGTTTCATCATTTTTTTTGAGAAATTAATTCCATCGGCTTACATTTGCGATTTATTTTTTTTTTTTAGAAAACGATTTTTTGGTTGAAAACTTGTCTTCTGAATTGCCTCACCTTGAAATTAGATTTTTTTTCTCAACTTTCTAGAATAAAATGCAACAATTATGAAGGCATTAGAATTTTTCGTAAAAAAAGCCTAAAATTGACTACTTTCTATTTGCTATTGTTTGTACACTAATACGCTGAAATCGTATAATTTTACGGCCGCCTGAACAAAAGAGATTTGAACATTTTGCGTTTCTTATTTAGCCGATTAGTATGTATACGTAGACGAAAACTACAGGCGTTAGTTAATTAGTTAGTTAATAAATAGCAACTGCATTTCTGCGTAGAGTCGTTATTTGGATGAAATATTTTCCAGAGAGCCAATAATTTGATGACAGAAGTATAAGTGGATTCCCAGGAAAGATTTTTTAATAGGTTTATTCCGATAGATTACTACTGATAATGTAATGCATCACTTAATCATATTTGTACACTATCAGAGAATGATAAATGATCAGAGAATCTATTATCAGATGATAAAATCTAATTGATTACCTCCGTCAAAATTATCAAAAAGTAATAAATGTTCATTTTTAGAATTCATAATTGTGAAAGAGATCAAAAGGAATCAATGCACTTGCTCATGTAGCTGTACACCTGTTGATGAAGTTGAAACCACTGTGCCAAGCACAATCAACGATGGATTCATAACCACCAGAGAGATATTTCCAGAGAACGAGAATCTCGGCACGACATCATTAGCTCAAGTTACTACGGGTACGACAGATGAAATTTTAAGCACAATTTCATCAAAAATAACGACCCATACAATTTATTCATTCAATGAAGAATTTAATCATAGCATAAGTGATCAGCTGCCATCGCAGTCTTCTAAAATTAGTCCACTACCAGTTTCTGATTCGCCAGATATTCCATTAACTGAAGCTACGAAATTAGGAATTGATAGGCATGAAACTGTTCAGCCTACTGACATTCCAAGTAGTCAACAATATGATACATTAGAAACGAAAAATTTTGGTAGTCAAGAATTCAGTAGTACAAAAGCTATTTCATTTATAACTGAAACAGCTTCCTCCACTGCCAGACAGTCAAGGGAATTCGCCGAAGACGACAATTCAACCACTGAGTCTAACGACCGTGAAACAAACACCAGTCTTTTTGTTAATGAAACTTATACTACGATAAATGAAAACAATACAAATGAACCTAGTTCATCCACTGATTCAATTATATCAAAATCTTCACCATCAGTGTCTATTAAATCACCTAATATAAATGATTTGGTCTTATGGGGCCTCGAAGCCTTGAAAATAACAGAGGAAAGTCAACAGGCAACGACAATGGATGCTAATACTCGCTCAGACGAAATTGCCTTTGGAGATGACGATGAACTGAAATCTTCAACATTTGCTGCGATAGATTCTATTCCGACAACCGAAACACAGATAGATGAAGCGACAGCAGCTAATGACAAGGAAACAGATTTAAACAAAAATCCAGCTTTAACGACAACGAATTCAATATTTACAACCTCTCCACGGTTAAAAGATGAAGGGAGTTTTAAAGTTGAAATTGCACTTGATGAAGAACAAACAAAATTTCAAAAATTTAATGACAAAATAAAACATATACACGAAGCTTGGTTAAAAGCATTAGAAGAATTGCGAAGACGAATAGAAATACAACACAACTTGGGAAATCTAACAGTTTTTGCTGGGAAATCGCAAAAAATTGAGAACCGTTCAGATGAAGATGAATCTCACGCAGATTTATTCGAAAATTCAGAGAACTTTTCAACGATGCCAAATTCTTTAAGTTCCTCTCACAAAATCTCAGATTCGTTTAACGCATATTCACAAGATTCTGTCGATTCTCTTGAGAACATTAAAACTACAACAACATCTTCAACAGTTCCATTTATACATACTGCATTCTCCAGTGAATCTCGTAATTCAGAAACCATAGTATTTCCATCATCTACAGTTTCTACTCATACACTAACAGTGGTCGAGCAAGCTTTTTCAACAAGTAAAACAATGGCTGATGAAACCCCGAAATACGAGACTGCCGATTCATTCACAATATCTGATAATAACATGGTAGCCACATCTAGTACTATTGATAATATTGATGTATTTCCATCTGCTGGTGAAACTGGTACATTACAAATAAATATGACAGTTAAGCCAGGTGTAAACTGGAATACTCCAAATGTTCATAACACTAAATTTATAAAAATTGGATTGGAAGAAGTTACAAATCTGACCGATGGAAATATAGATAAAAGCAACATGCATGATGAAAGCACAGGGGTAACAGATCCAAAATCAAGTTCAAATTCGCATTTTCGAAAGCAATACACGAATTTGCCAGAAGCTGAAGATGATGCGAAAAATGACACCTCTGGTATATCAAAAATGCCTTCAATAAAAAACTCGCAGGATGAAGCAGAAAAGTCCATTTCATTACCTGAAATAGAATTCCTTGTTGACAATCCATTTGAAAGTTCGGAACCAACTTCACAAGAAAAACCACTTGAATATTTCCCCGCATTGGCCGTGACACCAGAAAAGTAAGCTATTTGATTAATAAATCATTGATTCAACTAGGTTAATTTAATTTTTACATAGGTGGTATGAAGTAGATAATTTGATCTAAAAAAATTTTAGCTTAAACTAGTAAAAAACCATTGGTTTGGAGCCAAGTGAAGTGTCACAGAACCCCCGTTGAAGAGCCAATTTTAAATAGTAAAATATTCATTCGAATTATAGTTCACCATCGATTGATGAATTGCTTCGAAAGATACAAATGGAAAGAAATGTAGCTCGTTTGAAGGAGTTTGAAATGCAACGATTTCGTGAGGAAGAAGAACAACGGTTAAAAGAATTGGCCAGGAAAGAATTCATTGCGGTAGAAAAAGAGCGAAGAGAGGAAACGACGGACCAAGTGTCTCATTTAGGTAGCATTAATGAAGCACGAAAACGACTAGAAAAGGTTGGATTTAATAAGATATGAATTAAAATTGAATTATTTGATAACTATACTTAATTCATAAAATGCATTATCAGGCCAGACAATTGCGCGAACAACAGCGCAGATTCGATAGGGTACAAGAATTAAATCGGGAAGCGGCAATGAAATTAGAGATCGAACGTCAGGAACAAATCAACAAACAACTCGAATATTTAACTGAAATAGAAAGAAAACAACGAGAACTAATCGAGCGGCAAAAACTGCGAGAACGTACAATTGATAACGTAGAAATAATCAAATTAACAACACAAAATTTAAAATCGGATTCGAAATTCGATAAAAATATTCAAAAAGTGGTAAAATCTTTAGTTTTCTTCGATTCATTCATCGTTATCATTGAGCCACGGCATTCGCCATTTTTGCTTTGATTCATTCCACTTTCCACTGATTATCAGAAAGGCTATTTTGTAAGGCTATTTTGCTAGTGAGTAAACTGAGAATAGAAATGTCCCCAAATGTCCTCTGCTTTCGATCACAAGTTCATCTTCATTAAGAAACAATGCTGCTTTTCCTTAGCTCTGTATGGCGATTAATATAGTTCAGTATTTGTTCCATAGAATTCTTCTAAATTACCCAATATAAGTCAGCGAGGCTATAAGTAATAAAGGAGTAGCAATCAAGAAATGGCAAAGATTCTAGCACGCATTTGATTTTCCTTGCTTGGGACGAGTAATAATTATATGCGCGAAAACCGAGTAGCTGTCTGAAACTCATTTATCTCTAGTGAATTGACAACAAAGCAAGTTTCAGAGTAGCACTACTACATCGAGTGGGCTAAAAAGCTTGTCACCAAGGCAGTGTAAGGCAATACGGGAATTCGCTAAGATCTTCAAAATGTCAAACCCATCTGAATGGGTGCAACTGAACTGCCAGTTTGCAAAGCAATACTTTCCTCACGCCAGTTGTTCACATATTGCGCAGCTATTTGATTCGTGCATTAGATAGCACAATTGTATATCTTTAGAATGTTAAATGGTGAATTTGTATTTAGCTTACTTACTTCCATCGCTTACTTTCCTTTTCTACTTATTACCTTCGTTATTTGCAAACTCCATGCAATATTTAAGTTAAAATTCATAATTCATAAATTCCGTGAAACATTCGATCTCCCAGCATCATTTCCGCAATTTTCGCTTTATATGATATCAAATTTTTTGCAATTTTTACAAAATCAACTGTTTTATAATTTAATGGTGGATAAAAGCGGAATTATTTATGTAAAATTGGGTTTATTTTCCGCTTCGAGTTTACTAGTTTATGCAATAATTTTTGTTATTTTACAACTCAAATTGTTTCTTTATTTTTTGTTTCTATTCTAATCGCCAAACTGAAATTGTTGCATATGGATTTGTTTGGATTTCAATGTTCGGGTGAGATAATTTCGCTTTCATCTGACGCAGTCGCCTGCCTTAGTTGCCTTCAGCTAGTATAAGGATGGGACAGAGCATTGTCTCCTTGGGCGAACATCACTGCCTTATCCCAAATAACGCATTTCGTGGCAGTCCCACTCCTCACCGCCAATCTTTGGAACAATTTGCGGTTTTATTTCTTAATTATAATTATAAACGTGGCACTTATGTTCCTCTAATTTAATCAATTTTTTGATATTTTTTCTCATTTGAATTATTCGATGTAATAACTTTGTTAGCGAATTTGAAAACGGTGAATTTCGAAAATTATACGATACGTTTTATTTTGCAATCATTGCCAATTCTTTTTGAGAATTTTTTAGAACATATAAATCACCAAATTTGAATTTTAGAATATATAAATATAATATAAAAATTCCAAATTAAATAAATCTCAGTATTATTCAAAACAATATTTTTTTTATGGCTTTTTTGTGAAAGGCATTCAGTCGAGTTTAAAGAACGATTTATTATTCATAAAAGCACACATATGAGGAAAAAAAGAATATATCAAAATCGGCTTTAAATTGATAATAATAATTGATAATTGATAATAACATATATATTCTGGATAGTGATGAAATACATCTTCGCATGAATAAGAAAGGGCGCAGGAATGAAAATCGAAAAATTAGCTACCACGAGAATCCACGTGAGACGAACCGCAATGAATTTTTGCCGTGTTCATACTTCACATTGAAAAAAATGGCCACTTTGATCGATGATAAAATTGGCGCAATGCAATGCTACAATTTATTTGTAAATTTCTCTAAAGATTGCAGAGATTTCATTTTTAATAAAAAAGTTTAGATCCATCAAAAGATAGAAAATATCTTTCAATTGAGATGTGACTCAAACATAACCATTCGCCACGTTGTTCCTTTATCATGACCTTTAAAAGAATGGTACTTCATCACGTATAGTCGGTAAATTTGTAAATTTGGATGCTCAGTCAAAGCCATTCCAAGTCTGACTCTTTTTTTAAAGGCCATAAATGGTTATAAAAGATTGCTTTATAGCCTTACCATAAATATAAAGCATAAAACAATAAAAATATCGTTATCAGCGAAACTTGCCGCGAATCTACTTGATAACCTCTTCGTAATGCTTAGTCCTATGTGCTTTCTTAATACGGCGCAACATTAAAATGGCAGAGGACAAGCATTGACGAGTGGCGTAGATATAGGACGTGCAAGCCGACAGGCAATTCATTTGCCTTTCGTTAGATTTATATGGTTATTGACAGTATGGCAATGGTACTTCTCGAGCTTTTTTCTTCTCTTCATCCATTATTTCTGAAACTCATTCAGCTTTTTAGTTTATAATCATTTTTATCAAATTTTTAGCGCAATAACACCATTTTTCACAAATAAATCCATTTTTACCCATTGAATTCGTATCGCAAAAACTATGGTAATATAAAAAGAAAAAAATCACTGTAAATAAGAAATAGGCTAGGCAAGTCGCAATCAGTCATCATTTCTGGTTCAATTCTCCAGTTAGTTGTTAGTAATTTGGGACAGTTTTGCCAGAAAATCATTCCAGGAAAGAAATAAAAATGGGTCCACAGAACCACCAGGAATTTTTACCGGAATTTTCCCAGCCTATACCGGGAGATAATAATTTAAATAACACACACTTTACTGTATTAAATTTCCTCAATTAAATTCAGAATTCAATTTTCAATTATTTCCAAATTATAATTGAATAGGAAATAAAAACTGGATGTGAAAAATAAAAAAAGTTCAGAAAATTTAAGAAAACAGAAAATAATGATTGGTTTTGACTCACATATATAATAACGATTGATATGGACACTTACTGACATTTTATTCTCGTGGGATTATCTTGTGCACTTTATGGTTTCTTATGGTTATAGTTTGATAGCCAAGTGCTAAAGCACTGCATTCGTATTTGAGAGTATGCTCTGTTTTCGTCCATGCGGATATTATTCGGCATAGGTCCCTCAACCTCCAAGGCCTTCAAGAGATCGACGATGAACCTTACTACCCACATGAGGTATTTTTTTTCTGTTACGTAACTTTATAGAAATTAATTTAAAATAATTCAACTACAAGGACTAACAAAATGACTTATATTTTAGTACTGTAATAATAATAATGTGTATACTCTCAAAACACAGATGCAGTGCTTTCCTTCTTAAAAGCTCACACCATTACTTGTTAGGGTGAATCCAATGGCTACAAGGATAAGGCCTCTCCAAGTTGCTCGGTCAGATGCCATCGCTAGTAGCCATTCTAATAGAAGCCATTTTTTTTTCCATCGTCTAAGTCCATATATTGCTGGTCCACCTATACGTTCAAAATCTTTTCTGAGCTGACTCAATCCAGGTCTTGATTGGCACTCGCTCGACGGATCCGTAAAATGTACCTTAAACAAAAGCGGTCAAAGGCAGATAATTTCTTAATATCCTCCACTCTCATTGGATAAAATTTTTAATATTTACTACAGCGTGTAATATCTACTGTCGAATATCTACAGCAATGGCTAATATCTATAAATGTCTGATAATAATTTTTTAGTATACTCCACACTCAATGGAGATCTCAGAGCCACATAGAAAGATCAAACGAATCACGGCTATATAGATGCGGACTTTAGTTTTTATGGTGATTTCACGACTCCATAAAGGCTTTGCCAACCGGAAGAATGCATTTCTCGCTGCCGTAATGGGGGTTGTAATATCGTTGCCCGGCCATTCGGTATTAGAGTGGATCCAAGGTATTTAAAATCAAGCATTTTTTCAACCGACAATCTTCGCTGAGACATATAGTATGCTTCTCGATAATTGTCGTAGTATGTCCTACCACCTTTCTTGAAAATTGGAAGAAGAATTGCTTTCGATGCAATGCTTTAGCATTTGATTATCAAATTGTAATCTCAAGAAACCATAAAGGTGACCTCAATAGAATAAAACGCTAACAAGTGATAAAGCTCTTTATCAATCGTTATTCCCTTCCTCTTCTTCTCTTAAAGTTATCTTAAAGTATCTAAATCCAAAGGACCGAAGGTTAACAATTTAAAAAAAAATAATAAAAAAAGGGAAAAATCAAGTCGAAATGAATGAACTACATTACTGATACTAATATCCGAGTGTTAAATGATCAAAATTTCAAATTATTCAGAGTTTCTCAAAACTCTATTAAAATGCTTTATAAATTAACTGATCTACTATAATACAATATTTAATATAAAAACCGTGAAATTGAGAAGTAATAGATTCAACTCTTCGCGACTTCGTATAATTTATCTCCCGTTTACTTTTATCAATAATGTCGGAAAATTACAAAGTACACTTGCGATAGTGAATGAAAATATTTATGGGAAAAAATTTACAATTTACGACAATAAATGAAAATGATTATTTAACAGATTCGAAATAAAGCGAATCTGACTTAGGAGAGTTAATAATTCCAAAAAACATAACTTATTCTGGAAGCCCATTACCCATCTGCGGATCGGACTTACAATAACATGCAGGTGGATAAAATATCGTATAAAATTATAAAATTAATATTTTTTATCCAAGAGGATAATTTTCTCATAGCTGTTTCTTTGATTTGTGAATAAGATGGTTCTACAAATTAGCTAGCAGATGTGTGAATAAAGAAAAAAAGGTGATTTTATGCCATTTGAGTATTGAGTAGCTGACTCATTATAATATAAAAAAACAATGTTTTTGTTCAATAAATGTTTTTTTATAACTTTTTCAACTGCTTACCGTATTTTATTAATGGAAATTCGCACGCTTCGAATCATCTTACAAACATTGTACAAACTGCTGAAAAGTTTTATCGACTCAGATCGTGCTGAAATTCTCATTTTTTTCGTACGAAAAGTTCCAATATTAATAACTCTCAAATCTTTATATTATCGAATTATAGACCAATTTTCTAATTTACTTGTAAGCTGACATGCTTAATATTAAAGCAAATGTTCAAGTTAGGTTCGTCTGCTTACAGTACTTGTCATATTTGATTTGCCTATTTTTATTGATAGCTAAAATGTACTAACTTCACCAGAGAGAAAAATTCAGATACGTGTTCAGCATCATTCTGATTTAATGAGTTAACAAGTTTATTTCCACTATGGAAAAAAAATCCAATCTGTGACTGTTTTCTGACTGTTAACTGAAGACGAATTTCAAGAATAATGAGGATTTATTGATTTATTTATCATTCATTTATCATTTAATGATAATTTAAAAGTTTCGCTATTTTTCGCTGTTTTGTCGATTTTGTCGCCCTTTTGTCGATTTTATCATCCTTTAAAATATTTCGCACGTTTCGCTCTAACTGTCATGATTTTTGGAATATCTTTAAATTTACTTTGTTTAATATTTTATTTAAGCTTATTTTATATAAAGCTATTTTATTTAAAATGAATTTTATAATTTTACGAATTCTAAAAGCTTAGCATTGATTTAAAAATTTTGCCTTAGTACAGTTACGTATTGTTATTTCATTTTTTCAGAGGAGAAATGAATTTTACCTGAAGTGAATGGTACTTCGTTCA